GTTGCCCATGCGTTGCTGTAAATATTACTTAGCATCACAACCGGTCAAAGATGGAGGCATACCGTGTGCCTGGGCGGTGGAAAATACCAGAAAAAAGAGCACAAAGGAGTCTATTATTTGCAAGAACAAAGTACATGAACGTTTCGAACTGTATTATTGGCAAGTCTGCACAAGTCTTAAAATTCAGAAACTCGTGAGTCTGTGGGGGTCTATGGCTTCTGGTCTCACGTTAACACTCGTGAGGGATATTTTCGTAGCCATGAATGATAACCACGATGACAGGAAGATAATTGATATGGAGAAAAATAATGGACCATTATACGGTAGGAGGGCTAAAAAATTGCCGGTGCTCATTTTGTATGTTCATGTCAGTAGGATTTTGTCCTTCGTCTTTCAAGTTCTTTCTTCTTAGGACAGCTACTAGCAGGACTTCTTAAAGAAATTTTTCTTCTGAGCTGCTGAGGAGAGTTTTGGCAGTTTTTTTTTATCTATTTTGTTGTTGTTGTTGTTGATGATGATGTCGTCCAGTGTTGTTGCTGTTTTTTTTTTCGGGGGAGGGGGCTAATTGTACCTCCCTCCTTCCCACCCAAACCCCGCTCCCTCGTTCTAAAATTGCAGAGGATCACGTTCAGTGGTTTTTCTTTTTCGTTTCAAGATAACTACAACACCCCCCTCTACAAGCATTTTTTTCGAGGTGCAATTGATTTTAATAAAATAAAATCTCGAAACCGTCCACCAATTTGGTATCATAATGGCTTCAATGCCAAAAGCATATAGTTTTTGGTCTGCAAGTACTGAGCTTAACCATAGTCGGGTTAAACATGGATTGTTCAAAACGCCTCGATCGTTTTCTTCAATTACTGTCAATTAAAATTGAATTTAAGGATAAATGTCTATTATCTACTTCCGGCTTAAGTTTACACTAAAGAAGATTATTCCGGATTCAAAAATGTCTCCGGATTTCAGTTACTTCAAGGGTATTCACTATAGATTCAGTCCGGATTCAGAATCCTGGATGCGCGAGACCAAATTGGGACGTTTTTGTTTCGGACTCACGAATCTGCGTGCGAACGGCAAAACGAATCCGGCACCAAACTTTCCCCATTCTTGAATCTCCTTTATTGAAAACCTAGCATGAGTTATCAGGGTGCAAAGAAAACCATTTTTACCGCTTGCCATTCAGGCAAACTGAAGAAAGCATTTACTAGCCGAGACGTCATTTCAACTAGCCCCAAAAGCTTTTTGGCTAACAGAATTTATTTCACAGTTCTTCTGTTATTCAAATTCCTCAAAAAACCTCACTTGCCCGTCGGGCAAGTTAAAAACAGAATTCACTAGCCCGGTAGCAAAATCCACTAGCCCCGGGCTATCGGACAGTACTTTCTTTGCACGCTGGTTATACTTAAGGGCGACCTAATTGAGCAAAAGCCACAAAAATACTTCTTACAAGTCTGAGTTCAGTTTCCTCTTTTTCAAAGACGAACACTTGTCTCTCAACTTGCTCCAACTCTTCTTGGACTTTCTGCGCCATGGATTCTTCGAAGCCTCCAGCTATTTCCAGGCATAGTTTCTCCTGAAATACCACAAAAAAAGTGCTGCAAAGTCAGGCGGGATAAGAGTGGCATCCCAGCAATCCCGCAGGGATCTCACGGGATATCGATATCCCGACATTTTCCCTCGGGATGATATTACACGTTGGTTCCCACCGCCAAGTGTGGTATCAAATAATGTTATATGTTATATGTTATATACACGTCTTCGTTCTAAAGGATAGACCAGGAACAGTCTCTCTTTTTCCCTAGTCCGTCGAGCGAAACGCGCGTGACTGAAGGCGCGAGATGGGAGAGGCATGCTCTCGCGCGCGTGCACTCCCCTCGGTAAATCTAAAGAAAACGGAGAGGTTTCTTTTACAGGTCACATTCCAAAGGTCACGATTACAGGTCACTGTTTTATGCAGAAAACGAGTGACTGCTCGAAGTGTACCAAAAGGACAAAAAACGTGCACTTGTTTTGTAAGATTTCTGCAAAACGAGTTTAAAAATGATGTTGCGCGTTTTACAACCCACAAATTAAACCTGTCTTGCAGGAATTAAGTTGTTACAGGTTACGAAAAGTTGTTGCAGAAAGTAGAAAGCAGTTCTTTTTTTGCAACAAATTCTGTACATGTTGCCTTGTTTTAGCGGCCCAAGGCAAACTTGTTTTCGGCAAGTGATTGAATTCCTGTGTATGGCGTGACTCCCGCGTAATTTTATCCAATCAGACGTCAGTATTCACGTAACTTGCAACAACCTGATTTATTGCAAGTCCGGTTTGAAATTGGGTGGTAAAACGCGCGACATGTTTTCAAGTCATTTCGCAGCTGTTCCAAAACAAGTTACACATTCTTATTGCCCATTTCACCGTAGCTTAAGAGTTGACCGAAACAGGAAACCGCGAATTAAAAGTCTCCGACACCAAGGATACTTAGAAGGCGACTATGGTGGCCCATTATTATCATAGAAAAACTAACTGGAAATGCCTGTTTTATTTAAGAAAAGTTGAAAGAAATTGATAAAAGATCAAAGCATTTTTCCTTAGGTGATCATTTTATTTATTCTCATAAACTTTTCTTTTATTATGTATCGATATTGTTAGGAGAAAATTGATGTTGGTCACTCTTGGCACTTAACAGTAGAATTTAAAATAGCTCTTGGCCCCTGGTAACAGGGGTGTGTCTTACCTTCAATGAAAGTAATTTTCTCTTCTCCATTTGGACCTCTGCAAGCCTGTAAAATTATCAGCACACAAAAGTTAGTGTATAAAGAGACAAGAAATTATCCAACTTTCCAGGGGAGATTCTTCCAGGAATTCAGGTGTGTGTTTTTGCATATACTGTACCATTTTCTTTGCAACATCGATGATACTTTTTAAATATGACCTCTACTTGCATAAAGATTAAATTGTATTTTTTGTTCCCTCCACAATCAACATTATTTACTGTAAATCCCCCATTAAGCCCACCGGGGGGGGGGCTTATTTTTTTTCAAGCACTTTTTTGGGGAGCTTATTTAATTTAGCGAAACGCATCAACAGGAGCAAGGTTTCTCGAGCACGGACTTGTGGTTCCCAGGTGTTATACTGCTTTTTCTAACGATAAGGAAATGGTAACAATTCTTCACAGAGAACTAGAGCATAAAGTTGAAAAAGTTAACCACATGAAGTCAGAGGTCATGCGGCCGAAGACCAAAAACAATATGAATTTCCAGCCTGAATAAACCATAACTGATCAGCACATGTTAATAATTAACATTTACTCTTCACAAACAATTATTGTTTGTGAAGAGTAAGGATGGAGGGGAGGGGGAGGGGGAGGGGGAAGGGGGGCTTATTTGAGAGGGGGGCCCGCTTGATAGAGGATTTACGGTAATAATCTTCATTTCAAGGAGTTAACTATCTCATTTTTTATAAAGAATTATCCGCTCAAGGACAAGGTTGTGGGGGATCAAGCAAAATTCTTAAACTAATAGTAAAACAATAAGAATGCAGCTAAATAGCTTTCATAAACAATATTTATTTAATGGAATTTCTTTATCATCACAAACCTCAGTCTTTTGCTCTGATAGCACTCATCTGTCAGCTATAAATAGAAAAATAATATTCTGTTATACTCATCTGTATTTATTCAGGTCCTTCCGGATATAAAATTTGCACACTAGACAAAATGCTAACAATCAACATACATGTAACTTGGGCAGTTATATTGTACGGCCACGCAAGTTAAGAAAATTGACTTTGCCAAAGGGCAAGGTGTTTCTCTATTAACAGGGTGATAAACTATACAAGCCCGCCCTTCTGAAGTTTTGAGTATGTGGTCATCAGCAAAAACAAAATAGGGTTTATTTTTTTCTACGTTTTATTTTAAGTCATGTTAAACTATTCCCTCGTTAAAAAATGTGAATAACAAATGATAAAAGAAAAAAGAAACAGGATAGACAAATTACCTGTGGTGGAAGAATCGATCTCACATTTATTGACAGCCCCTCAATTGAGTTACCTAGTGAAAAAAAGAACTGCTTTTAATTTGTACTTGTACAAAATGTTTTTTTTTGGTCATTTTGCATGTAAATAAAGTCAAGTAAAGCATATAGAATGAAGACTGGCAATGAAACAGGAGCCACTTGCAAAACGCTTTGCAGTTAACTCATATTATGATGGAAACTCTCATTTTATGCTAAATTTGCGCCAAACTTAAAATCTCCACAATGTAAAACTGAGTATGTTAGAGGGTAATTGATAATTTGATAAAAGCCAGGCAAATAATTCTGGGTATGCCTGAAAAAGCAATATTCTTTGCTCTGCAAGGTACGTTATTTTAATAGAAGTTACCTTGCTTGCAGAATCGAGTTAAATGAAGAGATACAAAGAATTCTTCCGGTGACAGTTTACCATCCCTGTCAATATCAGATAAGTTCCTGTAAAAAAAAACAAGAAAATCATGTTTTAAAAATGACATTACTATGAATGTAAAGGATAAAGTTGAGCCTTTTTAACCATGTGGCCAGAAGCTATGCAAATATATTGAAAGAAAAGAATGTTTAAACAATAAAAGAAGGTTAGACTCTCGTAGGATTGGTTTGGGACACCAACATGGTCACCTTTTCATTGTTTTGGGACAGCTATATGGCGGAAGTTACGTCATGTGAAAATGCTCTATCCATAAATTAGTATGTCACCCATTATCCCAGTTCCTTCACAAAGGGGTGTGCTATGGGGCAAAGGAAAGCCAGAAAGTTAGGTTTAATAAAATAAAGTTCCTATAAAAGCACGAGACATGAGAGAAATAATAATATTGTTATCACACAGTATAGATAAATGAGTCAGATACCCACAATGCCAGTCCGCAAGTCCACAACCTCAACCCCCACCCCCTTGTCTGTTCTTCCAGAGAGCAAATGTGAAGCTTTCTGCCCTAAACATGAGGGCCTCTGTGGAGACCAGCCCCTGATTTGAATGGGCCACTCTGTCAAAACAAAGTTTTCCTTTACTTTACTCAGCTACTTATAAAACTAAGAGACTAAAAACCAACCGACAAATATTATAGTCTTTTCAACTCACCAAATTTGAGCAAGGACATGATTGGGCAGACCAGACCCAGTAAGGATGGCACAAGCAGCTTCAGCTTAAAGAGAAAATACAATAAATATTAACCCAGAGACAGACTCATATAAATGACAAGGCCAGAGCTTGAAATAATTTTTTAGCTGGGACCTGTCAAGAAGTCTGGTCAAAGCTAGTCAAACCTATTTTCACTCGGACGAAGCCAGCTACTTTTGAGTAGAATTATAGCATTGTCTGTTGACTGGCTGTCATTTCAAGTCCTGCGGGCTTAAATACTTTTTTCAATGCTAGCTGGCAATTACCAGGTTTTGCTGCTTAAATGTTCTGGAGAACCCAGCATAAAACTTCCCTTGATTGAGTGCCTCTACTGATATACAATGCAGTTTATTCCAGTACCACTCTAAACCTCAAAAACTTTCACCTTACTTCCAACATCATGACTGAGGTTCTGATCCAGCAAAGTGTCTTTTCGATGCTTACCATCAATAAATCCAGTTTTTGAATTAACATTCCACATGAAAGCTTTTTCATAGACTTCTTTCTCCTCCGGTGACATAGCTGGAATATCGACAGTAGGTAAATAAACTGGATTTAAGGTCTCAGGCAATTTTTCAGGAATGTCTGTGCCCTGTAAACGACTTTGAATAAGATGCATTGCTATGGCAAATTCTGCGGTGTCCAACATGTTGTTTCATTTCACATCAGCAAGTTTCCTTTAAGAATAAGCAAAAAAATTCAACCCACTTCTTAACAATAATATTGTTTAAAAGTAACTTTTTATAACAATGCTATTATTATGACGTTAACATTGCTACTTAATGATAAAAGTAATCAACAGAGCATTTTTTTTTAATTTCTAAGAAGGCATTCCTCATATAATCCTGACTGAATGGTCTAAAGGACAATTTACTCCAGGGAGGGGATGGGGAGCACTTTTATATCCTGGCTAATAAGTATATGCCAAATGGTACGGTCTAACAAGGTCCTGCCATTACACCCCACCCGTGGCCAATAATTATTTATAGCCATCCCCTCTACCTTAAGGGAAATTACAGTACACAAACTAACAGTAGATGTCAGGGAGCCAGGCCTCTAATTAATTTATAGACCAAACATTTTTGGGTTTGCCCCCTCTTTTTTCTATCAGCATCTCAATAAGGGGACCCCTCAAATACTAGAGCGTCTACAATGTTGCATGTTCTGCCATTGCGTGTTATTTTGATTTATAAAAAGAATTTATTATAAACTAGTGTCCATGGTATTCTAAATAGCCTATGTTTGATATATTAAAATTCTGACACAACTCCAAGGCTTTATGGTCAAAATTGAAAAATTTCCACCACTCCACTGTTTTGCAATTCCCAGAGGAGACTTGAGCACAAAGAAAACCAAACCAAATACAAAAAATGACCAGAAGGTTTCGGAGTCATAGAATTTTAATATATTGAATATGGCCAACTTTTGTTAATATTGATCAAACAGAGTTTGAGTCTGTTTGTTTACTGCTTGTTTATTTGCCCTTAAGAGAGAGCTTTTAATATTTATGGTTTTCTTTGTGATATCTTTATAACAATGAATGAAAGGTATGAAAACTATGTACAAAAAAATTAAGCTACAGCAAAATATCCAGCAATGTAGGCAATGTTCAGTTTCTTCTCTTACAGCCTTCGATTCACAATGGCTAATCAGCAGTGAAAATCATTGCCCATATTTTTTCCCACAAACAAAAACATAATAATGTAAGGAGGCACTCTAGAGTAGAGATTAATAGAATTATTTTTTACCCCTGGGCTATTGGAAATTATATATACTTTGCATAATAAAAACTTGTGTAATGGGGTGTATTTGCCTTGAAGATATAGAACACAGTCAATGTTAATACCTATGGTTTTCCCAATCAAATGACACCTCGCCTTATTAAAGTATCACATGGTTCACCAAGACATTTACCAATCCAATTTAATTACTGTGGTTTGAAATTAAAATACGTGAAACACAATGCGTATGTAGCCACATGGATAATAAAGAAATCTATAACCGAGATAATTCTGTTTTGAAAACAAAGCGAGGAACCCGTTGTTTCTAGAAAAAGACGAGCTTTGGAATCTGACGATTGCAACTGCGAAAGATTGCGATCCAAATTTTACAAAATGTATAACGCTGATGGGCCTAATTTAGAAAAACTGCATTTCCTAAAGGCTCGCCCCTTCGAACATAACATAAGCTTAATCTCACACACTCGATTTAGCTTGTTGAATATACATGTACTGTCTATAAGTTTACTATTTAGTTAAGTACCGCGCTAAGTGAAAGATTTATCATATACATTTCGAAATTATTTTTTTAAACCAACCAGATCTTACTGAGCTCCGGTAAAGGTAGTTTGGATCGTATGAACAAAGAACGAGCCTGTTCACCTGAAAAATATAACAAAAAATGTGAAGAAATATTTGCACAGATGAGCGCGATCGAAGCCGCCATCGCTTTCACACATCCCACATTTCTCACCAGATAAATATTGATCCTTAGGTTTTTGACTGTAAAATAAGGCATCGTGACGAGTTCTCTCCTCTTCAGAAATAACCCACTTCAAATCCATTTCAGGTTGAAAGAGAGACCTGAAATAAATGCAAAATAGTAAGTTATTTTTACCAATTTCATTCATCAAACGAAGACGTCAATTTCCAATGCCTCTGAGATTTCCCTTCCACGGCCATAAAAACGTGATATGCAGACGTGCGATTCACCTTAGGAAAAACCGTCATTGTTTAAATTGTCCATCATGTAGATTCAGTTTGTTTTTGCCGGCGAAACATCGCCTGAATATCTGCAGCAATATCCCACTGAACTCAAATTTTACATTTTGTCACGGTCTTCTGACGCTGTTCCAGTTTCCATGAGCGCAAAAAGAGATGTGGGGGGAGGGGTGGAATAGGAAGACTGTGTGATGGGAGGGCTGGGTCACTAGTGAAGCTGCACAAACTGTTCGTTGCGCCGTGGGTACAGAAATCTTTGTTGCGTTGATAAGAGGTGTAGTAGACTATTCCTCTGAATTTTCTCTTCATAGACAGTGATACAAACAAACACGTGAGCGGAAAATCATCCCTCGAGGACACAAAACGCGTCGCGCGCAGAACTCCGCGCTTCAGGAGCTGAGCTTCTCGCGAGGTGGAGATCTTACACGCCTTCACATTATCACATATTTTGCTCGCGCTTCCATGACTCTGAGAAAGATATTACAGACCTCGCAGCCATATATGTGTAGGAACTAGAGTGGTTATTTGAATTATGCAATAAAAATTTCAACAATCCGGACAAGCTGATATAGCAGAAGCACGCTACTCTAGATTCTACAGAACATTCATGATATTTACATACGTACAATCATGTACATTTTTCGTGATGAACTCCTTTTTTTCGGCTTGCTCATAGGTTTAACCGAATTTATAATGGCTAGAATCATGATTCTCCGTAATTTTCCGTCGTCATTTTGGGGGATCAGTTTTCTTGGAAATTTGACCCATGCGGTACATCATGAGTCTTTATCTAGCGATCTAAAGAACACCTGCTTTCATTGTTGTTTTAATTTGAATAAATTTCAAAGCATACCCTGCGATTCAGGTCGTAATACAATGCCCAACTATTTTATCCAAGTACAACTTCAGCTGCTGCAACCACAAATACTTGGCGCACGAGCGAGCTTATACTTCATACACACAAAAAAAATTCCTTAATAGACTTAATAGTTTAAAAATATTCTAAGTTTTGGTTCTGAGAATAATCTCAGTATAAAATACAACTGGGAAAAAATAAATAAAAAATATACTTTGTAACATACTTGATCCGAAATAATGTACAAAGATCACAAAATTATCGCCTTTTTTCTTTCATTTAGGAGCCCATTGCTGTTTTCAAAGATTATCGGCGTGTTTTTTAAGAACATCATACTCTCATGAATTAACTATATTTTATATTGTCATTGATAAACTAACTGGGCATAAAACGTACTAATGAAACTGGATTCATTATAAGCTATATCGCTAATTACATATTGGAAATGAATTTACGACATACCAATGCTTTCTCAGAATCATCTTTTAAATCAGTTCGCTGTAAATTTTCCAACAGTTTGTTTTAAAAATCCTCTTATTCAGCAAGCCTTGGTATGCACTACTTAATTTGCCTGATTGGTGACAGATTTTCATGGCCCAAAGTTTTTTCAAAGTTTTCCTCGGGAGCTCTCGGGAGCCCATTTCTAGCGCCTGTCACGCAGAAAACATACTGATCAGCGGTATTTTCACAAGAACACATGGAAAACCAATATGGCGGACACAGCGGATCTATCCAAAAAAATCAAAGAATTAAAGGACAAAACGAAAGCTATTTTAGAAAGCGATGCAAATTCAAACTTGCTCGTTGATCTACTGGAACTTTCGGAGAGGGAGGATGAAAAGCTCCTAGTCGCATTTATCAGATCAGTACACAAAATCTTCACAACGTTTTTTTGTCGTGGAAAGCTACAACCTCCTTCTAGCATGGCGAAAGAAAGCGAAGATCCTGGAGATGTCTTTTGTTGCTGGCTGCACGAAAAGTATTTGCTTACCTTGAAGCGGCTTTTGTATCTGCTGAGTGTTGGATCACAGAATGTTGTGGAGTTTTCCTTATGTACTTTAATGAAGTTCATTGTCGAAGAAGGCAAATTAATGAAGTGTTTCCCAAATGAGCTATTCAGGCAGATTTGCGATGCACTCTTTGATGGACAACACAGCATGAAAAACTGCATTGAACGATTTGCAGAGTTCTTAGAGTTTGACGATGTAAGGTTTTATGTGCTGAAAAATCTTGGTAAATTCCTGGGGAATGTCTCCAACAGCACTGAGAAATTTCTTGTGGAAAATACCTTGACAATGCTGAGCCTTGTAAAGATGAAGAAAGATGAAAACGAACTCAATAATTTTCTTACTGATGTGAGAAAAAAGAAGAAGAAAAAGCATGGCAAAAGTGGAAAACAAGAAGAAAGATTTCTTGTTCTACAGGAGCATAGAAGGGTGTTCAGCTCAGCATGGCTTGGATTTCTTTCAATTCCATTGACATCAGAAGTTCACAAGAAGATCCTGCTGAATCTTCACACTGATGTTTTGCCTCATATGACTGACCCAAAACTGCTGATGGATTTCCTGACCGATTCCTATAACACCGGAGGTGTTACAAGCCTACTTGCACTCAACAGTCTGTTTGTGCTGATACACAAGCATAACTTGGAATACCCAGATTTTTTCAAGAAGCTTTATGCCTTGTTTGAGCCTAACATCTTCTATGTGAAGTATCAAGCAAGATTCTTTCACCTGGCTGATCTGTTTTTGATGTCAACTCATCTTCCCTCCTACCTGGTTGCCGCTTTTGTAAAGCGTCTGTCGCGCCTCGCTCTCACTGCTCCTCCATCAGGTGCAATGTTGGCAATCCCCTTTGTCTGCAATTTAATTAGACGGCATCCAAGTGTACAAGTCCTCATTCATCAAAAGAAGGTAAGACAGAGAAATTTTATTTTGCTACTTTCCCTGTCTCCTTGCTTCCTGTCGTTTGGGACATTTTATAGGAGAGACTTCTGCACCTCAATGACAGAAATGCCAAATTGATTCGTAAAATCTGTCCAGAATCTAGTCAGGAGCTCTGATTTGTTGATGTAGTAATTGTCAGGGTTTTCATTAATAATCCTAGTAGCAGGAGAAAGGTGTAACGTTACCGGAGAACATTTTGAATGAGGCTCCACTTCTGAATAAAAAATTGTCATAAGTTATCCAATGTTAGGTGGAGTATTCTGCGGAGTACACAGAGAATTCTCTATCTCCAATGCCCAAGGAACACCCTGAATTGTATTCTTTTAGCTATGGCATTTCTCTTGTTGAGGCACAGACTTCTACACAAATTAAATGTCCCTAGTACAAAGGATGAATGGAGCAAGACCTTAAGTGACTATTCAGGTATTGTCGATAATGCTCCTTAATAAGTAGGTTGAGTATGATCATCTCGGTGAATGTAGTCCTGAATAGGACTGTTCTTGTTGACGGTGACTGACATTTAACCTGTGTGGTAGTCATCTTCAGAGTCAAAGTGAGTTGTATCACATCAGTTGATGGTATTAAACTCTGGTTATTGACCTGATTGGTCAATTAAATCGTGATGTTATTGGTCGTCTGTCAGTGAAGCCATGATGTTATTGGCTACGAAGACCTTTAATGTCATTGGTACTTTTCGATCCGCCTATTGTCACAGTTATTTATTGTCAGTCCAATTGTCAGTTGTCCAGTTTAACAAGGAAACTCAGGGTAATTCATAAAGGGAACCAGTGTATCAAAGTCATGCAGGGCTTTTTTTCTAACACCTTTTTGGTAGACATCTTGTCAGAATGTAACCCATCCTTTACAGAACAAAAATACACAAAGAAAGATACCGAGTTCATTTTTTTTTTTATTTTCTTATTATTATTTTCAGAGCAGTTTTGGTGATTTTTAGTATCCTATAGAGCATTTTCATATTACATCTCGCCCACCATATTAGTGTTCCAAAGTAGTGAAAACACAACCATGTTGGTGTTCCAAACAAATCTTGTGGGAGTTAAACCTTTTTCTCACATTAAGAGTTTCTTTTCTTCCAATAAATTTGCGTAGTTGCTGGCCATGTGAGTAAAAAGGCTCTATTAACAGAACATAATATTAAAAATGATGCACTTTCTAAAGACTGTACATGACAGTACCCTGTACTGTGGACATACCTATTTGCGAGGGTTTTCCCACAGCTTCGCTTGTCTTCAGATAGACATAAGAGACTTGAAAAAACCACAATGACAAGGTTGGTGTTCACAGATTTATTGGTTTGACAGTAAATGGTCAGTCAGGTTCGAGCAAGAATACCAGATATTCAATACACCATGCATAGTTTTAATGTAGACATAATAATACTGTGGAACCCCACTCTACTTACAGCGCTTAATTCAGACACCTGCATACATGTATAACAGACAGTTTTGTTTGTCCCGACAAAGTGCTTACATATCTGTTCTAAAATTAACGTGTTTTATGAACACCTGTTGGTACATGTATGGACAATGCACACTTTTTTCGTGTCCAGAGGCACAAAATTCTCAAATATTGTCAACCCCGATTTACTAACACTGGTTATTTGTGCAATATCTATTTTACTTGTCACAATCATGTGCTAATTCTAGACATTGTACACTGTTCAAATATTGACAGATTTCTGTGGGTTAATACAGTAGCAAAAATTAATAATGTGGCATGTTTGATTTTGATAAAAAATCTGTCCCTTTTTCACGTTTGACTCTTGTACTGTAGCCATTTGATTACGTTTTCTGTCTTCAGTATTAGGATTAGCAGGATTTGTTTAGTTGTAGAGCACTTGACTGCAGAGCATTAGGTTGTGGGTTCGATTACCGGGGCCAGCGGACCAATACTCAGGGTCTTAAAATAACTGAGAAGTGAAGGTACTCCCTTTGCCTTGCAGGCGGCTGGACCTTCGCATGGCTCAGATGACCACGTAAAATGGCGGTCTCGTCTCCAGTTGGAGTCACTGGAGACGTAAAAATAGTGTCTCCAAGTAGTACTTTCGTGCTAAATACCTTGACACTCAAAGAAAATGTTTTTTTTTTTAACTACACATGCAAGTTTCACTTCCTCCGCTTTTTAGCTGAGGTCATTGTAACTATTGTAGCCTTCTTCCTCTCTTTCTGCTTTAGTCTGGTTATCAATACAACGTGTGTCTGTGACTTTTTTCGGAAAGCTTACAACATGGCAACTGTCCCCTAGGTGTCCATAGTAACCGGGTTCCACTGTATCATTTTGTCTTTAGTCAGGAAAGCTACTGCTTGAAGGTGACTCAGAAGAAGACATTTCCGATTCTCAAAAAGGTGATCCTTTTATTCCCGATGAACCAGACCCTGCAAAATGTAATGCGCTGAAGAGTTCACTTTGGGAACTGAAAACTCTCCAAAGCCATTATTATCCAGGAGTTTCATCACTTGTGGAAATGCTTCAGAAGCCACTCGGTACCATGGAAACAGACATCTCGCAGTATTTTGATGAGGATTATGATCAACTGTTCCAGAAGCAATGCAGAAAGATTACGGCGGAAAATGCAGTTTTGGAGTTTCAAGTTCCTAAGGGATTATTTAGTAAGGGCATGTTAGAGAGCTGGGTCTTGGAGTAATGTGATGGTTAGCGGAACATTTACTATACCTTTTGTTATATGTAAACTGCTTTGTTCTTGTTTTGCTATTACGCTACTTCTTGAAACCAAAAGAAAGAACAGTGAATGTATAGGAGAGTGTAAATGATTTTAATGAGGGGTGGTTAGGGTGAAATCCTAACAATCAGCATGGTCTTGTAGCATTGACATAAGACAGATGAAATGACGACAAATGACACACAAACAGGTTGAAATTGCAAGAGCATCGAAGACCAGCGAAAATACAACAGTAAAATACCGTCAGAGACGGGGCGCTAAAACAGGAAAATTCAACATCATTGTCGCTTTTCAATAAAGCACTTTAAGGGGTATTCCACTTGTGCTTTGGTTTTGAGATGATTAGGCCATCCCCATAAAATGTTTCGTTTCCCATCGCCCGACCGACCCATTTTTTTGGAAAAGTAAAAAAAAAAAATTCCAGAATCACTTGTAAAGAAGCAAGTACTTTAATTTACAAGCACACGATCTTGTCTTATTAACACCAATTGTCTTAAATTATCATCGATACTTCGTTTTTCTAGCCTTTTTAGACATTTGATAGTCCTGTTAAATATACATCCTTTACCATCTGATTATATCTTGCAAGACTAAACGTGAGATTTAATATGCAATCATGTGTTCATTCTTTTTTTTTTTTTTTGCCCGACCGACCGACCGACCGACCCACCTTCACGAGAGGGAGGGCGATGGGAAACGTAACATTTTATGGGGATCGCCTTATAGCCAACTTGGTGCGAAAATCACATAGCAAGGATACCCTTGTACATTGTCTCTTAACTACAATATGTACTGTATTCTGATTGATGATTGTAATTTACTTAACAATTTGTTTCTGCAACACTGTTGTCTTTTTGTTTCGATTTTTTTCTTTTTGCTGAATTTTGTTACGTCATATGCAGAACGAAACACTAACACGGTTGCCACAAGTCAGGAAATGGTCAAGGAAAAGCCAGGGAATTTCACTTCGAGTCAACAAAAAGTTAAATCTTTGAAAGAAGTCAGGAAAAAGTGAAATTTTAAGAGTACATATTTATTTTTTGAACATTCTATGGACATGGATCGTTTTGTATTGGTAAAAAATTGTCCACGAAAATGAACGACAAGCCGATGTTGGCTTTTCGAGAACATCCATTTGCTTGCACGTTATGTTAAAGAACTGTCAATTAATATGCACTTCACGTTACTTGCTGTAAGTGGAGGGGATGCCGTGAGAAAGTTGATAGGGGAAATTTTAAATTTGTCAGGGAATTTCAGAAACCTCTGGCTGTTGCAACGATGATTAAGTTTGTTTCATAAACATTCAGTATTTTCGCCTAATAATACTAAATTACAACTTTTCGAAGCGGACCGAGGGAAACTTTATATGTCATTATATCCTCAATTCTTGGCAGCGTTGGACCCGGGCGTTGTGACGCTGTAATATACTAGCAAATAATTGTTTTAACGACATTTTTCTAGAGAGTTCCCTTAAAACAAGCGAAACAGATTTACAGACACAGTTTTTTCTGTCTTCCCCCTTTTTTAAAAAAAAAAGATTCGCGAAAACTTCCGGTTAATTAGCCGTTTAGGAAACTTATTTCTTGTCTGCAAGTCGAAACGTTTAGCACACAAGCCGTTCTGTGTGGCAAATTCGAAATATTTTCTATGTTTCTCTTTGTTAAGTTAGCCTTTTATTGTGTTAATCTAGTATCCATCACAAGTGCTGTTTAATTGATGCTTTGAGAAAAATTGCGAATTCCTATTGGTTCGTTATGACTGTTTGCCTACTTCAAAGGCTCAGCGAATTTGAGTTGTCTTTAATAATAACAGAGTCGAGTCGAGTCGAAATTGCAATTGGAGGAAACTCTATACCATTTCCTGGGAAATCCTGAAATGTTTCGATTTCTAAAGGTTGATTTCCCCGAGGAAATACTTGCCACGTTGTCATAACGTCGACACTTTCTAGTTTCCTTATTAGGCTTTGGCAACGCGGAAACTTCAGCTGAAACTTTTTTGACAACATTAGCAAAGGAAGTTTTCATTTTTCTCTAAATTTGTGCGAAATGATGTCGAAACGATAAATCGCCGGGCTGAAAATGGCGGATGGAGTAGTGGCAATTGATTAATTTACCTCTGTGTTTGGCTCTATCAATTCTGTCTTGGTTGGAATTATTACAAGTTGATGTTCAGATCGTCACGTCTTTAACAGTGAACTGACAGAATGGGCGCCTCTCACAGCTCTGAATCTTGGCAAGTAAATAGAAAAGCGAGAAAACGAGGGCAAACGCAGAGTGGTTTATATCGCATCAAAAAATCACTAAAAACACGGACGAGTGGGTACAAAAGTGAGAGCGACTTAACGGATCAGGAGGCCTCACAAATCAGGCCTGTTTACGTAAATCCTCTATTTCAGCACCAAGAGATGTTCAATAACTCGGATGTATTTTTTGAGGAAATTTTGTCTAAGATTGAACACGAAGCAGCCAAGCTGACAAGCTTAAAGAGAAACAGTGAAAGTTTGAGAGGTTTTGACACTTTTATGCTGTACTAGTATATTGCTGCAAGTAACTTTATACGACACTGACCTGAACTTATGTGAAGGCCTTAAACTTTGTTGACGACAAGGCTTTGTAACTGAAAATTTGGCAGCGCTGCTAGATCGATAAAAATGTCTTGATTTCCTGGCGCAAGAGAAATAACTTTAAAAATTGCAAGTATTTGCTTTGTTATGGAGACGAGTTTATGTCACAAAGTGAACGCTGCTTGTCTCGGTGACTCGAATATCGTTGCTGGAAGGAGGAACTCGGCGGAAAGACTGCTTGTTTAGCAATGGTACCACAACTGGATCTTATAAATTTAATTGCTTTCTTTGAATGAGTGATGAAAAAGTTGTAACGTTTAAATTCTATGAAGTTCAAGACACGCATTCAAAAATTATCGTAGTGACAGACGACGTGGGGGGAAGAGTCTGAAAGTGCCACCTGCTCCCCACAAATTATGCATTTTTATTCTTTTGACATTAGGATTGGCTAATTTGTTTATAAACTTCAATATGTCTATCAGATTTTAAAAAAATAATAACAGCTGAACTTTTCCCTCTTTCTCTGTATGTCTATCAGTCTCGTTTGGTTGTCGAAATTAACTCGTGACATGATCCTCAAATTATGACCCTTACGGTGCTCCCCATTATATAACACATAAGACAGATTTGCTTTGACTAAAGCGACTCTCTCTCCCGGCAGCAGGATATTATATAGTGCGCAAAGTTTTTTATTATTAAATTTTTCTAATCATGAATGTCCGAAAAAGTTCTAACGATTAACCATAATGATGTCATATGGAAGTTCATTCGCAAACCCAGTCGTCTAGCATAGTAAACAATTACTTCAGTCTATTGTTGTGAATTTTACCGTTGGCTATGTTTTATTACGCAATCTCTAAGAGTTTCCTCATTTCTCTAACCTTGCGATCACGCAGTCCTTCATCCCTTTTTCTTCTTTTTCTCCCTCAAAACTTGAGAGCGCTCCTCAAGAAACCAACTCCAGGGAAATTCGCTTACAATTGCCATTTTCAGCAAATTGGTATATGTAAGCGCGACAAAGTTTGAAAAAACGGGAATTCATTTTAAAAGAGAGACGTTTTCGCTGCCTCGCCGTCTTCGATGCTAAGAGACCGGTAATTATTTTTCGCCTGAGGGTGTCGGGCCGGAGTATTTGGGGCTACACAAGATGAAATTTAGCCGATCCCTCCTTTGAATGTTACTTCACTGAAGTGATCCCCCCTAATATCTATTGATAATCCCCTCCATGCCTTCATTTTCCAAGCAAATGTGAGTGGTCCCCCCTCTGAATCCTTCCAAATCCTTCAAATCCTTCTTTTCAGTGATCCCCGCTTTTAGGTTCTCACTTCCGACTGATTCTGCCTTTTGTTCTCCTAAAAATCAAGTGATCCCTCCTAAAATCCTCCCCCCCCCCCGGCGATAAATATTGACCGGCCCCTAAAGCTCCCTATTTTAACGCCTTCCTCGTAGGCTATACTCCAGTTGCCCGTTGCTCTTCGCCGAAAAAAGGAAACGCCTTATTGCAGGCTATCATTTCTCTCGGCATGTGTCGTGAAGGAGGGTCCCTAATGAAGTTCTTCACCCGGTAATCCCGACCCAAAATTTCGTGCAATCTCCCACGGATACTTTCAATCCTAAATTTCGCCAAAATTTTGCTTGAAAAACACGAATCCCGAGCTTCAATTAAGGGTAATCCCGGGTCCTGATAAACTTTTGGGGGACCCTCGTGAAGCGATCCATGGGATAGATATTTAAACCTTAGTTTGTTTGAGTCCGGCATAGGGTATATATAAATACCTCAAGGGTATATCTCGGCTGTCCGTCCGATAAGGACCCTTACTCAAGTTTTCAAAATGTCCATAACTTCGCCTAAGTAGCATAAGTTGTATGGAATTATGAGCCAACCCCCTCCCCTAGGCCCCTCCCCCCTCTGGCAATCCGCCTTTAATTTTCAGAAAGTATGCGTTTATCTCTTAATAATTTTCAACCTCTGACAACAGCGAAGAAGGACAGCAAGCATATCAGTATGTACGCGTAACATAATGTGCTCTTCAACAATGACCATGACAAATGCACCAGATCAAAAATGACAGACAGCCAAATCCTGCTGTTTTCTCGTAGTGAGCTTGGGCAGGAGTCCATCACCCTGTGGTTGAAAAATCTTAATAATCGATCCTGTAATTGATGTTCATTATAATTATTTTATTGTCTTTTAAAATTTCTTGCAGAGTGTTTTCTAACCCCACCCCTAAACCCACCCCACCCCCACCCCATACCCTTTCCCCTGCTGCCATTATCCTGTTCCCAATCTTCTCTCGAACGTTTTTCGAAATCGAGGTTCACGTGTTCCAACATGGCTGACTTGTCAGAGATAATGACGGCGAATCCTGCAAAATATCAAGAGGAACTCATCAAACGTCTCGATGCCCTGAAGAGAAAAGAAACCTTCTGCGATGTGACTGTTGCAGTAAAGGGCAAAGAATTCAAAGCTCACAAAGTTGTGCTAGCTGCAGCAAGCCCGTTTTTCCTTTCACTTTGGGAAAGCAACATGGTGGAAAGCAATGAACAACGAATCGAAATCAAGCTTGAAGAGGCTACTGCTTCTGTCTTCGAAGACGTGCTGCAGTTTATCTACACTGGAAATGTTTCTGTGACCGAAGAAAGTTGCCACAAGTTGATTGCCACGGCTGATTATCTTCTTTTACCGGGGTTAAAAACATTGGCTTGTCGTTTCATGCGAGACGAGTTGACGGTTCAAAACTGTGTTTTCACCTATTATTTTGCTGAAAAGTATCAGTGTGAACAGCTTAAATTGGCATGTTGCGAAGAGATTTGTTCAAATTTCACTGACGTTATGGAAACAGAAGATTTTTTGAACCTTGACGTGAAACAAGTCATGGAATGGGTATCTCGAGATGACATCAAAGTTGATGCTGAGGAAGAAGTATTTATGGGAATTGTCAAGTGGGTCTCTCATAACAAACCTGAAAGGGAAGCCAGTTTTTTTGAGTTGTTGCGCCAAGTGCGCCTAATTTCCATATCGAAAGTCTTTCTCCGCAACACATTAGTGAAGCAGGAGCTTGTAACTACAAGTAATGTCTGCTTAAACTTTGTGTTGGAATCTATTACTGACGAAAACACAAGTCTTTCCAAAGTACCAAGAAAATGCCTTATATCACAAGTGGAAGCAATTATTGTGTGCGGTGGCAGGAAGGCATTGTGTTATCTTCCCGACATAAATGTTTGGTATCAATTGGCAAACATGTCGTTTGAGCATCGAGACCATGCTGTCATTCAAGAGCGGGATAAGGTTTTCATTTTTAGTAAACAAAATTTTACAGATAGTCTGTCCTATGTAGTAGAGTACTATGTGCCTTCCACAAACCTGTGGTGTTCTTTTCAATCAGGCTTTGAGTATAATGAGCAATTCTGTAGTGTGTTAGCAGTAAGTGGTTATTCACCATTGTATGCTTTAACCAATAATGACTCTATTCCTGAAAATACAATTTATACATTTGACATTGAGAACAATGAGTGGGAGTTACGAGGAGAAGATGAGTATAGGAATCGATGGGGGGCCTGTGCTGTGTCGCTGGGACATTACCTTTACATAATAGGCGGTAGTTATGATGACACTACCACAAGAACTGGAATAACTAAAGTGGAAAGATTTGATCCAAATGATGACAGTTTCCAAGAAGTTGCACCTATGAATAAAGCAAGGCATGCTGCATTTGGAGCAGCCATGAATGACAAGATCTATGTTGCAGGCGGAATTCGAACAAGACACAGAAGTGGACTGCTTGACTCCTGTGAGGTTTATGACCCATCAACCGATGAATGGCATCTGATTGCAAGTCTCTGTGAACCACGCCATTCAGCAAGCATGGTCTGCTTCAACGGAGCTCTGTATGTCATTGGTGGTTTGAAGTTTACAGATCGGGAATTGTCAGTTGAAGTATTTGATTCTGAAACAAATGAATGGAGGGAGAAGAGCACCATACCTGTCAGCCAAGTTGAAAGTGAAGAAGAGAGAAACAAACAGATGGATTTTAGGGCTTGTGCTGCATCAGTTCATCAAGATGTGTTTTTGAGGCCTATTTTGCCCTGAGCTGAGACAGTTGCATGCTCTGTAAAGATAGTGTGTTAAGTGCAAATGCATAAACTTTCATGATCACAAGACTATAAAATGCTTCAAAAAAGGAGCTGTGAGCAATCTAGTATTGAAGCACAAGTACTTTTCTGACCCTGAAAGTTTTCTTGACAAACTATTAATCTTGGAAACACTTCAATACGATATAACAGTGCAGGGCTCAGTGCTTTCCTCTGAGAACATTTTGCTGGAGCCCAATGCTCTGTACATGTGAAATCTAAAGAGCCCAGTATGTGTTTTGTTTTGTTCTGTTTTTCTTTTCTTAGTGAAATTTCGATTTCTTAGCCTTCCAAGTGCAAAACTTAAGCACCAGGGACCACCAAGCACTGCGAGAGCATAACCCTGGTTGCTTTACAGCGAAATTCGTTGTATATATATATGTTATAGTTAATTTTTTATTTCAGTTAATTTTTATTTTTCCATTGTTTTGGGGTATGGTAATGTATGCTAATGAATTTAAAACAAAGGAAAAACAAAAATTAACTGAAATTAAAAATTAACTGCAACATATATTTTATATTTTGGGTTTTTCTGCTCTGTCAATCATCTTAACGGACCTCCTAGGAAACACATGTGTACTTGCACAAGTTCAAAAGGTCCTAGTTTGTGATTGGCGGATTTCAATCCGTTTTGTTTACTTTGTGTTTCAAGGTTCATTGCTTTGTGATCGTCCTGTTTCAGGCAATGATGGACTAGTTAAGTTTGCTTCACAGATTTCTCTGATCTTTCTTATTCTTGTCACTTGCAAAAATCCACTTACTATCACGATTTCCTTTGTTATTCTTGAGCAGTCTAGAGTCATTCTCAGCCAAGCTGGGTAAGCACTTTACATTGTGATTTGCATTAGCCCTGCCTTCACTCAAATGATTGACAGAACAGAAAAACCCAAAATCTCTTCGAAGTTTGCATATGCGTTACACGGTACAACAAATTTTGCTGTTGTATTTTTTAAACAAAACCCTGCAAGAGGTCAACTGGGTTCATTAAGACTTTATTAAACATGAATACACTTGAATTTTAGCTGATATAACTGAATGGTTCCTTATCTAAGGATCACACTGGGAATGTAGCACCAAATGGGAGTAGCAATACTCTAGCATACTATAGTTACTATTACTCTCTTGACTTATTTGATATATATCAAAGGTGTTCAATGGAGGGTCACTTTTAGCAGGATTTACACAGGGGGTACATAATGTACCCACCATGAATCACTCTAGCTTGTTCCAGGCTCTCAGATAGTAGGAAAGATTCGAAAGTACTCAATTCAGCGGGCCCGACTATCCTAGAGCCTGCAACAGGCTACAATCTTGGACAAAACTGTTGAGAAAATGTCACATTCTCAGAGCATTTTTCCTAACATCCTTGCTATACCGCGTCCTCCCTTCCCCCCTCCCCTTGGAAGCAATGTTGTTGTGTGTTCTAAAGCAACCCTGATCCTTAGACATTTGTAGGAAACAACATTGACCTGGGGGGAGGGGGATTAGGTACCGCAAATCAGTTGTTGTTGAAATAGTGTTGTTGCGTTCGATAGTGTGCATGGAGGGGTACAAATTCTCAAGTAGTTTTGTCCAGGATTGTAGAATCTCTCTGACTTTTTAGGCCATCACGCATCATGTAAATGAGGTGCCATGTTAACTTAGAGCAATAACAACAACAACAAGTTTATTCAGTATTACCATTTTTTACAGGTGTTACCTATTGAAATAACAATAAACAGCTAAATTTAAGGAAATGAAGATATAATGGAATGGTAGAATTAACTATGTTTCTTTCGTCTTTCAAATGCTTGAAAGACGAAATTAGCAGTTAGCCTGCTGATATGTGAATCAGTATTGTTAAAAACAAAACAGACTTTATCATGGATATTGTAATTTGTAAATAATGTATTTTGGTAATTGATTTTAATAAAAAGAGTCTTTCTCCGATTATGTGCTCCTGCACTGGCTAAACCTGCAACTAAGGGACCAGTCATTATTTATCGCCTGGGGGTGGGGGGGGGAGGGATTTAGGGCTAAACAATGTGAAATTTACCTGATCCCCCCTTTGAATGTTACTTCACTGAAGTGATCCCCCCTAATAACATTTGATGACTTTTGCGATCCCCCACATGTCTTCATTCTCCAAGCAAATTTGAGTAGTCCCCCTCTGAATCCTTCCAAAGTTTTCGGTGATCCCCCCTTTTGGGTTCTCAGTTACGACTGATCCCCCCTTTGTTCTCCTAAAAATCAAGTGATCCCCCAAAATCCTCCCCCCAAGTCCCTAAAGAAGTCCTGTTAGCGTAAAATTCCAACGATAATCTTTGTACCTTGAACTGGGGTTTTGATGGTTGTAAGGGCTGTTCTCTCTACTCATCATAATCAATTAATTTTGCAATTCTCAATTTTTTTTTACTTTTATATTGTATACGTAATTCCAATGATAAATTGTGTCCCCAAATTAGTATGGG